TGAGAAACCCGTAAATGTGAAAAGGGTCTATATGTGTATGAGTCAAAGAGGAAACATCCCATTTAGTGGTTTGCATCAAATGAAATTTACAATAAGCAATTTGATATACATAGAAGGCAAATTAAATGCTGTTAAAAGTGTCTATTTGGATGTTTCAAATAATTTTGATTAAAATGCCATGACAACATTATGTTTGAGTCAAATTATGTTCCATTGTTATTCAGTGTAACATGTTTATGTACAAATAAAACAACATAATCTGACCAGAACTCATTAAAAAAGATCAAGTGTACCTGTGCTTTGCTTTTAAAAGATGTATCTTTAACATACTATGACAGTTCGAGTTAACTGATAGGTAAGAATAATTAATAAATTTAGATGAAACAGTCCCTTAAAAGTGAAACTGGGTCTTCAGTTTCACACTCAAGTATGATTTGCACTCATACTAGAAGCGTACTGTGCCAAAGCCCAAACAAACCATGCTCTGGCAATCCTCTTCCAACCGGGCCAGGGCTGGCCAACCAAACCATGCCTGGGCACAATTCGGAGCACTCACACTTGTCAAATGAACCCGAAAATGGAGGTCAAACATACCACGGCACGGTTTGGATGGCCTAGTGTGAGTACAAAGTGTAAATATTTAAAACGTCAACTAGTTTAAAAATTTGAGACTCCACTGTGGTCCTTAATCATAGTATTTTACTAAGTCAGAAAATTATTCATGATCTAAGCCGATAAGAATTTTAGTATATAAACTATTGTTACACTGAATTACATTTTAGGATGTGTCTTTTTGTATCCAAAGATTCATTTTTCTTTGCTAAGAAAAAAAACAACAACAAAAAAAACCCAACAGGAACTGTTTTTTTATTTATAAATTCTGGGATGTTTTAACCTCATTTTGGGTCAAATATGTACAAACCCAAGCTCTGGGTTAATTTCTTATTCAATGAAAATAAAATGTTAATCCCCGTGGGTTGAGTTTGTGCATACTTTACCTACAAATGGATTGAATCGGCTCATAATTATTTGAGCGTCCAGTGATAGTAGTAGTGGTAATGTCTAAAGACTGAATTACAATTGACAGGACAGCTGGCTTGTGCCATATACTGAAGGTCTGATCCACGGGGTAAAGTCAGGGTTTGGTGAAGGTCAGACATTCCACTGAAAAATGGTTTACAACAATGTGTCTCATCAAACAGGTTGAAATACAGGGGTCAAGACGTCAAGGAATCCACATCAAATGGTGTCTGCATAAGCGGTAAACATGAAAAGGTTTCCTCATACTGCTTGGAAGTTTGCCAATAGACTGTGAACATTGTTTGTGAAAACAAGCTTTATCATTCAAAATTTTTAAAACTTTCTGAAAAACTGTATGCTTCTATGGTGGCAAAAATTACAGCTTAAGAAATACAGTAATTTAACTAAAAAAATTAATTTACTCACCATTTAATTGCCTTTATGACGTTCTTTCATCTGTTGAACACAAAAGAAGATATTTTGAAGAATGTTAGAAACCGGAATGATTTCTATAATAGGAAAAACAAATAGAAGTCAGAAGTTTTCAGTATTTTTAAAAATAACTTATTTTGTGTTCAACAGCAAGACATTTTGTCCCATTTTATATTAGATGGCCTTTTCTACTATGTACTTCCATCAAACAATAAATACACTGTACTTACTGTGTTCATAATGTATTGCAGAACACTTCTGGTGCTCTAGAGGTGAGATATGGGTAGGGTTAGGGACAAGTTTGATGGTATTGGTAGGTTTATGGGTGAGTTAAGAAGTAAGGCAAGGTCAACAATGTAATTAGATAAATTAATTACAGTTGTAATGATGTGCGGGTATTAAATCAATCATAAGTACAATGTAAAAATAGTGTATTTACTAGGGATGCTCCAATCGATGGGCTGGAAATCAGTATTGGCTGAAAATTGGAATTAATGATGCGATTAGTACTTGCTAACCTAACTGATCTCATGAACTGATCACAAGTTTGTTGGTGAGTTTACAAGCAGAGGAAGACACACATGCGCCCTAGGTTATACATCAGCAGTGCTTATAGGTGTGCATTTTAAATGATTAGGAATCAAATATGCACTCAAAGCATTTTCTTTATTGAGAGATGTTGAATTTTTCCTTCATTTGCAATGTTCCCAAATAGTAATTTTTCTTACCAATTTTTTAAAAATCTGTTTAATCTATTATTTTCAATAAAGCTGCTTCATTCTGACCATAACATGTCCATACTAAATGATTAAACAAGACATGTTTAAGTGATTTTCCTTAACTGTTCAATGCAAAATCCTTAAATTTATTCTCTTAGGTAAGAAAAGATCTCCACTTAAGTGATTTATGCAATGGCAAAGTTATATAAAGCTTGATGCATCAGAATTTAGTACTCTGTATCAGCCAGTCACCATGACAAGAAATAGGTACTCAGTATTGACTGCAAAAATCCTGATCAGAGCATCCCATGTTTTACACAATAAGTCTATTGTAACAAATGATTAATTTCAGTTTACGTACATATTAGTAAAGGTAATCTAATATAATGTACGACCAGACCCTCAAACATGTTTCCGACAAGTGTAGGGTGAGTAAATGATGACAGAATTTTCAGTCTGGGTGAACTGTCCCTTTAAATGCCCAGAACGTTCCACACTGAGAACTGCTTCATAAAAGTTTAAAGAGGTCTGACACCTAGTGGTTAAGGATGAATTACTTTTCTCCATGTACATTTTGGCCTGACTTTTCAAAAAACTACACAGTCCTGATTGTCAAGAAATGATTTTGAACCACAACCAATTATAGATTAGCAAAATAAATCAAGCTGATCGGCAAATTCACTCCCCTGATATTCATTAATGTCAAAATCCATGTAAAGATCCAGTAATGTACAACAACCCTACCATAATAAAAAAAGTTAAAGTTTTAAAAAGTTCACGTGTCTACGTTTTATTTAAAACCTTACCAAACATGCCAATGTGTCAAATTATGTTAAATGGACAGTTCACCCAAAAAGTAAAGTTCTGTCATCCTTTATTCTCTCTCCACTTGTTCCAAACCTGTTTGAGTTTCTTTATTGTGTTGAAAACAGAATAAAACATTTTGAGGAATGTTGGAAACTGGTAGACATTGGGACTACAATGGGATTTCAAATTTCCAACATTATTCATGTCTTCTTTTCTTTTCAAAAAAGAAAAGAAACCCACAAAGCTTTGTAACTATTTGAGGGAGAGTAAATGATTTTTCATTTTTGGGTTAACCATTCCTTAAATTAACATATTGGATCTTTAGGTAGGTTCATTCTGATGTAACAACAGATTTCATTGTAGAAATCAATGCCCTTTAAATACTATTGAAAGACAAAAGAGAAGGCTTTCACAAACATACATATAGTACACACAAAATATAAATAGACACAAACAAAAATAGACCCACTATCTCTTTCTCGCTCTCTCACTCACTCACTCACTCACTCACTCACACACACACTCACTCACTCACACACACACACACACACACACACACACACACACACACACACACACACACACACACACACACACACACACACACACACACACACACACACACAACAAAACAAAACAAAACACACATAAAACAGATTATGTAAAGGAACTCTTCAAATATTAATGCTGACGTTTGCTGTTAATAATGAATTAATCATACAGTCTCACATGTCATCACACTGACGCACGATAAGTAACAACATAACAATGACTTTATTACAATGCTTTTAAGTTTGAATAAAAAAATCTAAAAGGTCATTGTGAGGAAATAAATAAATGAATGAATACAATTTTTAACAAATTAGGTAATACAACGAAATATTTATTATTTTATAGTTACACGCCTTTATTTTATTTTATTTTTTTGCAAATTTATTCTCTGTGAAAATATTCCTATGTGAAACTTTTACAATTTTGATAATGCACATTAATAGGCCTGTCGCAATTATCAATATATTGATTATCAACACATGGCCATGACAACAATAATTTTTGTTGATGCAATATAGGCCAGACAAAAAAAAAAAAAAAAAACTAAATCAGCAACATTTAAGTTGATTGCGCAACCTCAATCTCTTTTGGAGGTGTCAGTGTCAGTATGATTAAAAAAACTATAGAATTTACTATAATTTACTATAGTACATTTTTATCTGAGATCTGTTATTTTTTTCTAGTTCTATTTACCTTGAATTTTTTTGTTCAATTTTCTTTTAATTTGTTTAGGACATACAATTTCACATTCTGATTCCAATGCCAACTTATTAAATTGTTAAAATGACTATAATTAAATAAAATGTTCTTAAAAAGAAAATATTGTTTGTTCTTTGGAAAACCATACTTGCATCATGATGCAATTGAATTGTCATTCTTCTGGCATTATATAATGAGTGGCATAAAATGGTCTCTAAATGACAATAAAAACACATTATCAATAGTTTATAAAATAAAACACAACATTTTACTGTAAATACGTACAGATAACTGACAATAACTGTCAAGTGGTCTTTTATTTATTTTAGTTTTTTCCACAGCTGAATTTAGCCATGGAAGAAATCAGAGACCACAAGAAATCATTAGGTAAGTTTTTACTAGTTCCCTTGTTTTTTTTAGTAGCCTCCTGAAGATCAAAACTATGTCAAACAACAGGACATGATATACATTCAATCAGCTGTCACTTGGATTTATTTCATTTATATAATTGTACTTATTATAACAGTATTTGGATGTATAGCAGTGAATTTTTCAGCTAATCTCATCCTAGCTGATATAGGCTATTGTTCGTTGAAATAAAGTTAACATGGACCAGCACTGATGGCAGACAAACAATCAAGCAAATATACTTGCTGTACATCGAGATGTTGTTCAACGTCTCATCATGTTTCCCGCGACAGTTTGTTTTGGGCGGACATGGTTTATGATTGGTTTGCAACAGGAAGAAAACGCAGCACTGTCTGTTACCATGGGAACAACTCAACGTAAACAGGATGGATAACGGCAAAGGCGTCTTTTCGGGTGAAAAAATGGATGAGTTTCGCACCTATGAGGACTTTTTAGATTCCCAGATTAAACCTGTGGATCTGTTTTACCTTGAGGTGACGTATTACAATTCATATTGTACGCTAAGTTAACTGAGCGCAAATAATATCCGAATGCACATCACATAATTATTTTAAATTGCCCGGATTTCTTTCATCATTGTGAAACTCGCAAACAGTGTGCGTTTTATATTTGTATTTATTTATTTGTTTGTTTTTTGTTTTGTAGTTCAGCATTTTAATGAGTGAATTGAAATAGTTTGGTGGTGTGTAACGTTGTATCACAAGTAGACTGTATTGCAGTTTAACGCTAGAGGGCGACATGATAACTTAAGTCGAAATTAAACTCACATTTCTTTTTGCCATTTAACTACGTCTGATTGAGTCAAGAGATACCCAATATTTCTGTGTGCATGAAAAGGCACAGTTTGTCCGTCAGATAAAAAACCGTTATAATGTATAAAATTAGTTGATCTAATAAATGTATCCATTATCATTAATTAGGGCAATTTAAAACAAAACAACAATAGGGCTTTATGATGTCTATCTCTTTTAGACCATTTTTTATTTTATTATAAAATATTTGAAAAAATTCATGTCTCTGAAAGTATTTAAAAGTAGTTAATACTTTTTTGCAAACATTTTACAACAATTGTATGATTAAACATTAAACGTTTAACTTCATCACAGGAAAAAAATGAAATGTGAAAGTATATTTAAGTAGAAAAAGAGTTATTTTACAGTGCCATATTGAACAATGTTCCTGTTTTTATTGTATTTTATCAAATAAATTATGCCTTGTGGTCATAAAGTCCATGTTTACAAATCAAAAATGATTTTTTAACTGTTGTTTTACATTGTAAATTAAGTTTGGATTCTTTGGTGATGTTAATGGTGGTTGTTGCTAGATCAGATATGGTTGCAGCCGGAAGTTAATAAAACATATTTAAATTATTTATAAAATTTCCCATTAATTGTATTTTATTTCTTTGCATATTTTATTAAAGTCTACCACCACCCCAACCCCAACCCCAACTTTCACAGTAATGTAAAAACAGCAGTTATACAGAGTATTATTATTTATGTTATCTAATAAATTACTCAGGGGCAGCACGGGGCGCAGTGCACAATCGCCTCACAGCAAGAAGGTCGCTGGTTCAAGCCCCGGCTGGGTCATTTGGCATTTCTGTGTGGAGATTGTATGTTCTCCCCGTGTTTGCATGGGTTTCCTCCAGGTGCTCCGGTTTCCCCTTACAGTCCAAAGACATGCGCAATAGGTGAATTGAATAAACTAAATTGGCCATAGTGTACGTGTGTGCATGCAAGAGTTTGTGGGTGTTTCCCAGTGTTGGGTTGTGGCTGGAGGTGCATCTGCTGCGTAAAACATATGCTAAATAAGTTGCCGGTTCATTCTGCTTTGGCGGCCCCTGATTAATACAGGGACTAAGCCGAAAAGAAAATAATTGAATTAATTAATTGAATTACCCAATAAATTGGATGTTTTAACGTCTACCCCGTCACAGTACTGTAAAAATATGAATTATTGTTATACAGTATCATAAAAAACTTCCGGCTGGCCGCGTATCCTATAGACTTTACCGTTAATGGTGTCAGATTTAACAGCTTTACAGAGGAAAAACACTTTTTGTTTTCATTTGGCATTTTTTCTTTTTTACTGTTTGACTTTTAGTGTTTTTATGAATCCGTTAGTTTTAACAGTGGATTTAACCCTTCGCAAATGGGTCTTTCCAGGTTTTTCTTAAACAGCACCTCACTGCAAACCCAATGCCCTATAACCACATGTTAGCAGCTCCTCCTTTTGTGGGCATAAGGCATCTCGCTAAATCATATGGAAATGATACAATCCAGGTTTAACTAGGCTGCAGTGACATGTGGCAAAAAATCCTTGATTCTGGCAGCCACGAAACTGTCAGCACAGCTCAAGTCATGTCCTTTTGTCATATAAATAGCATGTATACTAAAATTGGATTGATATAAATAGCACTTGAGCTCAAAACTAGCACAAATGTGTTGTACATACACTAGCCTGTTTGTTTAAAAATGCCATGCCAGGGTAGATTGTCGAATGCCATGATTTTTTTTTTTTCATATTGTACAGCCACCTCTAGCTCAGCAGATCTGTGTTATTGCTCCTCCAGGATCAGGAACTGGCCCGCCAGCTGGTGGAGCTGGGCCTCAAGGATAGCAGTTTGGAGAGGGAGGAATTTGAGACAAGAAAAGCAGCTGCCGAGGCCTCCAGGCTTGCTTCAGGAAGCCAACAGAAGTAAGGTTTTTGTGTAGTGACCATGAAAAGGGGACAGATTTCAAACCAGTATGTGACCTTGAGAACATGTATTTTCCAGTTAACGTGTCAGGCTTCCTTCGTGAAACGTGAGCAGAGTGAATTTCTGTGTATATCGTTTGTTAAACCACTCTGACGTACATCGTCACATTCAATTTAATGTCACAATCTACGTGCGAAGGGTTTTACGAACAATTCATTCTGCTCCTGTTGGATGAATGAGGTCCATTGACTTTGGAGAATGAATATATTATTGACACAGACTCATTGTAAATATCAAAGACATCAAATGACGTTAAGATGGTAACTTATGTTGGATTATAGGATCTAAAACTCCAAGGACACAACAGCCTCTTTCTAGATAGATCTTGGCTGAAAGCAGCATGGACTTTCTGCTGACGCGAATGCTTTTTATAGACGCACCTGACAGCTCAAGTGTATCTTAAATGCAGATCTTTCGTCCCTTCACTGTAAGAGAGGCAAAAGTGGTGTTAATGTGTGTTTGTGGGAGTTTTGGGATGCTGTAAACTTGGTCGCTGACTTGGACAGGGATTGCATAGTTGGTGTGGTGAGGCTTCAGGAAACATTTTTGGAGAACTATATTTGTGTTTTCTTGTGGCAGCTCCCCTGCTTAACCACCTGCAGACGTGTCTTTGTGGCGTTCAGTGCTTGTGAAAATCAAGCGCAGAAAGACGTTCTGGCTCTCAGTTCAAGCAAAATAACATGGCAAAAAGGACAGAAACGTCTATTACAGATCAAATTGCAGTCAAATAAGAAAATAACTCTTTAGGCATATAATTTAACACAGCCTTTTGTAGAGTAAAGCACTCTCAGATGCTATTGTGTTTGCTTCAAGCCAATGAACTCTTTGAAAGGACTCCTATAGCGTGTTTGCTTTTTTACTTAGACATTCAATTTTATATAGGCTATAGCCAGTTAAGGTTTGGATTCAGGCCTCAGAAGTTTAACAGATTAATTTAGGCTCAATTGTTCTTATTTTACAAAAAAGTATTGTTCAAACTACTTATTTTAAATAAGCTGAAACTACAATTGTTAAGTTTTTTGGGTACAACTTGATTGTTTTATGCTCAATCTATTTGCATTTGTAATAATAAACAAGATAACTTAATTCTTTTATGTTGCTCCAACACAAATCAGTTGTGTGGAACGCAGCATTATTTACAGCGTTGGCTGTTTATGTGTATTAATGTTTACATTTAAGTTGCAGCGTCTTTGTTTGGGTGCAGATGTTGACTGTTATGGTTCGCTAAGTAATTTAACATTATTTAAACGGGATGACGCAGTGGCGCAGTAGGTAGTGCTGTCGCTTCACGGCCAGAAGGTTGCTGGTTTGAGTCTCGGCTGGGTCAGTTGGCATTTCTGTGCGGAGTTTGCATGTTCTCCCTGTGTTCATGTGGTTTCCTCCAGGTGCTCCGGTTTCCCCCACAGTCCAAAGACATGTAGTACAGGTGAATTGGGTAAGCTAAATTGTCTGTAGTGTATGAGTGTGAATGGGTGTGTATGGATGTTTCTCAGGGATGGGTTGCGGCTGGAAGGGCATCCGCTGCGTAAAAAATATGCTGGATAAGTTGCCGGTTCATTCCGCTGTGGCAACCCCACATTAATAAAGGGACTAAGCTGGAAAGAAAATGAATGAATGAATGAATAAATGATTTGAACGGATAGTTTACCCAAAAAATTGTAATTTATCATTTACTCTCCCTTGACTTGTTCTAAACAAGTTAAAATAATTTTTTGTTCTGTTGAACACAAAAGAAGAAATTTTGAAAAATACTACTTCCATAGTATTTGTTTTTTCTGATGGTTATGGTTACAGGTTTCCAACATTTTTCAAAAATATCATCTTAAATTTCATTTTTGAAAGAACTATTCCTTCAAATGTTGTTTTCACAAATAACCATCTCATCCACACGAGGACTCGATCACTTCAGTGCTGTTTATAGGTTACCATATTGTTGTGTGTATCCTATGGTTAATACGCAAGTTTAGCTCTGTTATGTATGATTGTAAAAGAGGTTGAAATTGAGAAAGAGTCACAATTGCGAGGAGAAAAAAGACTCACAGTTAGAAAGGCGAAATTCTTAAAACAAGAATAAATCTAAATGGCAATATATGTCTAAAAGCTCACACTCTATAGGAATTTTAAGTTTACAGTATTAGTGCGGGGCACAGATTAATCAACACGATCACACAGCAATTTGTATCTTTTTGATTTAATCGTTAATTCGTACTCATTCGTTTAATTTAGTACAAATTGCTTATCCCCCAATGACAATTGGGTTTAGAGATGGGGTTGGGTGCCATGCCTCCTTTAACATTGTATATTTTCATATGGCTGAACTCGAAAACGAATTCACCACTAAACTAATAAAACGTAGTTACGTTTGGATTTGTAAGTGGTTTTTATGGAAGCTTGTTTCTGCCTCGGAATTCTCTGAATTATTAGATGTTTTAACTTACTATGTTCACTTAAATTCTGAATTTCTGTAAGTCTGGACTGTTAAAATTTTTAATCAATGTTATACAATACTTGAACATAACCGAATAGATTTTTTTTACATATTTGAAGGCTGTGTTGAAGGATGTCACTTGTTGGGTCACATGAAATTGAGCAATATGCTGTCATTACTTTCCACATTGTTGTTTGTTTATACAGATAAAAGCTGAAGTCACTTTACAAAAAAAAATCAAGAGTTGTTTTGGTCACATGATATTGGAAAGAGAAGGAAGAATTTAAATAATAAGCTATTAATAGGGATTAGCATTAGAAAACATCACCAAATAATAGCTAAAATGAACAAAAGTCAACTTGTATAGCATGTATCTATATTCATCTAGATGTTCTCAGCAGAATGTAAGTATTTGGTTCGTCAACAGTAACAACTGTTAATTCTAGAAATTTATACAAATAAAAACTAAATTGCCCTTTCAAATTGGTTGATATAATTAAAAAAAAAAAAATTTGTATTCTCATTTGTGAAAACAGTTCAAACAGTGCTGCTTCATATTTTTATTTATTATTATTATTATTTATTTATTTTATTTTATTTTAAAAGTAATACTTTTTTTGCAATTCTTTGATTAACAAATTTTATGAATCAGAAACATTTGACAAAATTCAAGTATTCACTGAAAAATACATATATTTTATTGTCCCCACACATATGAATTTAAGATCCAGTACAACAACACATAAAAGTAGATGAGTGACTTTTATTACATTTAAAATCATTGATTGGATCACTTTTACCATCAACTCAGCAAAACAAACACTTAATCTCTTTCCTTTAGCAGCTCCTTTTTATTTTCCGCCTTCCACAGTTTGCTTTCTCTCTGCTTTCCTTCCTCCCTTTCTCTCTGCCTTTTCAGGCCTCCTTTTGCTCACCGAGACCTTTAGTGCCTGCAGGTGTATAAATAGAGATGTTTTCAATTAAGACTTGCTTTGCCTGTAGCGTGCATCTGATCAATGAATGCCTCTGCACCTGTGGTAATAAAATACCAAAGGGACGAGGGAGACTGTGCTATGAATGCTAATCAGATGTTGCCCTTTTGTTGCCCTGTTATAGGCTAGTACATAACATGCTTCGTTTGACAGATAGGCATTGTGGTATCCTGCCAACAAATCACAATTGAACAAATGAAGGGATTTCGCCCTGAGAAACTCAATACTTGACGCAATGGGAAAAGCTTGAATGAAAGAGATGGTTGACTGAAAGATGGCTATTGTGGAGAAAAGGTTCCACAATGACTTATGACTGCGCTGAAATAATGGACAACAGTAAACGTAAAGCTTTCTTTATGCGATTAAAACTAGACTCCTTCATCGCCGTCCTTTCTTTCGCTCTGCATCTGTGACTTTTTCCGAGATGAATGTGAATTAGGCAGATGAGTGAAAGCATTACTTTTTTCCCTCTAATAAATCAGGTCCATACAGAGGGAATGGGAGCGATCAGGAGTTTGGCTCGGGTCTGAGCGTACGGATAGCGCTGAAAAAAAAAATTTCTCCTTAACTGGTGTTTAGAAGCGAGGTCATGTCGAAAACCGGCTCATGCCCTCTCAGCAAGTTTACAATTCACAACGTCCTCATAAATGCTGCACCACTAGGCCTGGATCAAAAAGCGTAAGGTCATGCAGGTTCCGAGCATTCTGGTGTGAGTTTCAGAGAGGCGAGAGAGCCTGGTGGTTTTACGCAGGCCTGATATGAGGCCCTGGCAGGAGCCCTGAAACCTGCAGCCTGGCTCAGACCCAGCAGTAAATGTCAGCAGATGTCCTGACCTCGCGTGCTCATGACAGGCTCCGGAGACTCGAGTTTGAACCCCCCCTCCCCCTCCCACTCCTTCAAAACCCCCAGCACAACCACAGCCATGCTCTTTGTCCATTGTTTGACTCCGTCGAAAAAATGCCACTCTCCACAAATTCACCCCTTTCGAAATTGATGGTTGGAGCCATCGCTCACTAGCCAAGTAAAACCCTGCTGCGAACACAGACTGTACATATGCACCGCGGTGTTAATCCCTTGCTCACATAGGCTGAAATAAGACCTTCAGGCCTGTTTTTCAGGCCATGATCAGGAGGATAGCTTGGCCTGTGCTGGTTGTCCCACAACGACCCAGCATACAAGGTGCTAAATGAAGCTAATCGGAAAGGTGCATATGTTATGCCAGGCATACACAGTGAAATTTTGGTCCTAATTTTGACTCTTTTTCAGCTTTGTCATGCTGTGTTCATGCACTGTACAAGGGGAAAAGATAGGCAATTAAAGGCATAGTTTTTTAAATGTATTTACTCACCCTCAAGTGCTTTCTCAATATTAATTGATTAATAATTAATATTAATTAAGTGGTTTCTATATTCTTTTGAACACTAAGAACAGAATAGAAAAGAAGGCTGAATACCTGTAACAACTGACTTCCATTGTAAGAAAAACAAATAGTATGGAAGTCAACGCTCCGGTTTTCCAG